AGAAGGAAGGACAGGCCTCCTACAGGGGCAACAAAAAAAAAAAGGACAAGGACAGCACGTCTGTAGGGGCTCTGGGATCCTCTCCCACCACACAGCTCCGGTTCTTTGCTGACGACAGTCCTACGAGGAGAGAAGGGCACAGCAGCACGTCTGTTGTCTCTTACAGCTGGTGGAGGGTTTGTAAGAGCATGTGGCGAGCAAATGAACAGGAGTCAAGAGCACGGTTTGGTCTGTGGAAAGAGGGGAGAGAGAGAGAGAGATTTAAAATACTTAAGAACTGCTTTGTATCTGTTTGAATGAGCCAATAAACACTGGTTCAAATGCAGTGGGCTTGCATGCCCAAAGGCCTGTATCTTTTTCCCTTGTCATTTCTGAAACTACTCCCTCATTGCTGCACAGATCGCTGCTTCCCATTCAGAGCTTGCTGCGGAAAACTCTCTCTCCCGTTGCTGAGTCAGGAAGACAGCAACAAAGAATCAGAAGGTTTATTTCCAAGGGTACAAAAATCAGCAGCAGATCGCTGCTCTCTGCAGCCCAGTTCGGGTAGAAGGAAGCGGGTGGGGGCGAGAAGCTCCTTTCCCTCCCTTCTGGCAATGGGATTTCCCATCTAGACCCATGGTTTAGGGCCCCAAAACACATACGACAAACCTGCTCATACTGAAATCTTTTCTCACCAAGTCATCTGCTATCCATGACCCAATAGTGACTTTGGTCTTGGGGCTTTTTAAGCCTTTAAAGGAGGCAATGTAACCTCCTGCCCTCCCCACCCCCAAGGTCAAGTAACACCTGAGTGGCTTTACTGGGCCACCTTTCAGGGTGCCTTACAAACAGCCCACAGAACCTGCAGAGCGTCCTCTGAAAGGGCCTGGCACAGAGATTGCAATAGCGAGGTCCATCTCGCGCAGAATAACCTGCTCCTTGAAACTAGACGATGGAAATACACAGTCATAGCAGGGTTAACATGGGGCTAACTTTCCCTAACATTCCCATTACCTCCCAGTAATGTAGATTTCTGTTCCCACAGGCTAACCACTCTCTAAGCATCACTGAAACTTCTAACAGCCTGTACCCATCCATTAGGGAACTTTCTCCAAAGAATTTTAATCCAATGTTTTCCACTGTTCTGAGAACGGAAATCATTAATTTTACCTCTCTCCCACCCCACCACAGCAAAATAACCTTTAATAATTAATAGCAGTGAGGTCTACTCAATTTGGGAAAGAAGGGTGAGCTGAAATAAAAGTTGGAATACCTAGATAGGAGGCAAGAAGTTCACTTCTGGATTTACAGTACATGGGCAATAGATACAGAGGTTATTTGGTATAGGGCTCCACATCTGCTGCGGGTTAACAGAAGCACACCCTGGAGAAGAGTTAACCTCCCTTATTCCCCCAAGAGCCATTCAACACCCCCACACTGAACAGAGAGGACAATCACAACGCACAGTTTATCTTCAAAGTGGCTGGGTGAGGTATTTCAACCGTCATCTCTGGAAGAGCCAGCCCTGTTCGCAATGAGCGGGCTGATTCTGTCTAAGCAGCTCCCCGTTTTTGGAAATAGAGAACCTGGACGGCTGGTGTTGATCACAGTCAAGCTCCCTCAGCCTCCACCCCTAACACCAAGCCTTCTCTAACACTAAGAGCCTCCTTACTTGCTGTGGAGTTAAACTGCCTGCCACTTTGCTATGGACTGTTGAAAGAGAGCAGTACTATTGGATTGGATCACATCAAAGAGCAGCAAAACCAAAAAACCCAAAAAAACCCCACTACCACCTCCAGCAAGTCACAAGTGGGCAGGCAGAATTACAGAAATGCGCATGTGGATTCACAGCACCCTCTTGTGTCCAAAAAAAAGAAAATAAGGACTGGCAGCAGAGTAAGATGGATACTGCTGACAGTCCACATCCATAATTTTATTATTATTTTTGAATGGAGAACACTACCTACAACATCAGAAATTGTCACAAAAGGAGGGGAACGACTACTCCAGAAGCAAGCCCCTTGCAGTGAAAGGCAGCAGAGCTCTAGCAGCCCAAAGGAGCCAACTGCAATCCTAAAGGAAAAACCTAGAAAATATCACCAAAATGCACACCAGTTTGCTGCAAACGAAGGACTCATGGGTTTGGTGGAGCAGAATTAGATTTGTGGCAGAAACAGAGCCCAAATGAGCTCTGTGGATTACTAATTTAACCAGTTAGAGGTTTGATTTAAGGTTAGGGCATGATTTTGTTCTGACTGAATTCCATGGAAAGACAAGCAGTGGAAGTTAACTGAGAAGCTGTTTTAACTGGACTTTGTGGTTCTTAAACGGCTCTTGTTCTCTCCAGGCAACTGTAAAGGACTTAAAAGCTGCTGTTCTTGTTCCCTTAGGGAAAACATTAAGAAATAACTATACTTATAAAACACAAAGGTATATGCTTGTATGTAGTCTTGACTTCATTATGCTGCATGGGACGTAAGTTTCCCTATGATAATATCACACCTTGCAACAGAGGGGTCTGCAAATCAGGAAAAGCTTCAGCTCCAAGAATTTCATAGCACCAGGGACACTGCAGGCTTGGCATTAGCACCCTCACGTACCAAAGGCAGGCAGACAGGTCTGCCTTCTACTGTGAGAAGCTCTTGGCTCTCTCACAACTTTTACAGAACGTTTGAACAATCTCACACTTTCAGAAAGAGACTTTCCCCTCTTGTACTTGTAGTGAAATGCTGGCTATGGATTAAATGGAATGTTTGTTGACAAATTCATTAAGGCCAGAATTTTACTCTTATTTTGTCACATACAGCATCATGTACAGATGAAAAACATTTACTGGTATTTTGCAGGCCTGGAGCCTGGGAGAGGCCTACAGACACACACACAAGGAGAGGGGACAAGTGTCTTTTGTGAGAAAATTTGTTTAGAAGGACATGTCAAGCTGAGTTATGAGGCTACTCTAGGCACTGGAATCTGACATAAGCAATTAAGAGGGTCAAATGCACTGAACCAAAGTCCCCTTTTCTGTATTTCCAGCTTCAAGTGATTTAAATCCCCTGTTTGGAGGGCTGGGGCTGACAGACACTAAGTGGTACTTGTTTTGATCTAGCTGGGCCTGTGCATAACTAGTGCCTAATGAAGGAAGCCATTATTTTCTTCACCCTTTTATTTTAGGGCTGGTATTGGATCCTTACACTGTACAGGTCTATTCAATCAACAAGCAAGATCACAGGCTGCTATAGGAAACAGCAGAAATCCATTGAACCGTCTGGACAACTTCACATGGCAAGTCCTGATACTTCTTGCTTAAAGCCGTAATGACTGAGCTGGAGGTATACTTGTTCAGTTGGCAAAGCGTAGGGTCACTGGCTTGTAACTGCCTAATTCTTAGCCTGATCAAGCCAAAGAGAGGAGACAGGAGACAAACCGTTCCGCCGGAAGGACCCCTAGGGTTAGCATTCACACATGTCTAAACAAGGTATTTACATAGTTCTGTTTTCCAAAACTGACCTTAGCGTGGCTGATTGCTGGACACACACCACTGCTACACTCAGCTTTGACAGCTTCACCCCACCAACGCTTGGAAAAATTCTCCTCCCCTATCACAACTGGCCTCTTTCCAGTCCCAGTAGATCCAAGCAAAGACTGACTACCAATATTTGACTGCACCCCTATCGCCCATGTTTTGTATTGACCGCAAGTATTTGATGCCTCTGCCTTTCTTCAGCAGAAGATCCCAAGCTTCAGCATATTCACCACACCGGGAAAATCAGGCTCAAGCCTTGTGCTGGAACCTGTTAAAAAGCTGCTCTTGCCCATGGTCCGTGCTGAGCCAAAGAGCCACTGAGTTCCAAACGGATTTCAGACCTCTGCTGGTTTTGCTTAAAGTGACAATTTTGGACTGTTTCTCCCTTTGATTGCTGGAGTCCTTGCTCTCTTGAGTAAAGGACTATTTAGTGTGTTTTTTCCAAATCACACCAATGCTAAAGTTTATTTAATCATTGATTTAATCCAGGAGAGATACAGCTTCCACTGCTATTGCATTATCTATGCTTTAAGACATTAAAGGAACTAAAGCTGGTGGGGGCCTATACTAGAAGTAACAATAGCAAATAGAGGCAGGCAGTAGAAGCAGCTTCTTCAACGCTTATGCTCCAAATTTAGGTCTCAGAAAAATCACTAGCCTTGTTGCAGTCACAGTAAGAACAGTTTCATTTAGGAACAAATTCAGTCTTTGTGTTTTGCACTGTTTTGATCTGCTGGTGTTCAGTGTTACACAGTGTGACAATTCAGGTAGAGCTCTGCTGACCTTCATACTCAGGATGATTTGGAGGGCACAGTTAGATCCAGTGTACTCGTAGCTCACTCAAGCAGTGGCTAGAAACACAGCAGGTTTCCTTAAGTTCAAAATACCTCCTCTGTGACTGGCATCAGTCTCTGAAGCAGAGTCAGTCAGTTAGTTGCAAAGGCAGCTTTCCACTATTTCTTCTTTAGGATCAAGACTTTTTATTCTAAATCCTGCATTCTGGAGCAAGCAAGATAAAAGTAGAGGACTATCAAACTATTAATCCTTAATTTCAGAGCAGATTATTTAGTGGGCTTTAACAAACCAGCTTACATATAGCTAGTAACCCTCAGTTTCACTAGCTCCTGTGGAGAAGACTGCATGGGAAATACAATACTCACTTTGTGACAAATGCCGAGAGAACTGGGGCCAGGGATTTAGGGAAATAATCCTGCTGGACCATATGGTTCAAGGTCATAAGAATACCATAGAGGCTTGGGACGGCTTTGATCTTCTCTTCACTCTGAGAAAAGGACAAGAAGGAAGTCAGATATCAGACAATCACTATTTTATCTAATCTACCCTAGTTCACAGGGGCAATGAATTGAATGAAGTGCTGCTGTGCACCGTAGGAGAGAAAGCTGCTCACTAGATTAAGTGCAATGTTCCTCAAAATAAAAGGTAGCAAATGCCACAGCCTCCCAGCACCAGCACCTGAAATAAAGCAGAACATTCTAGCACTTAACCAACTAGAGCCTAGTCATCAACAGCAGCAACAATGGGGAAAAGGAAGTAATGAACCTGCAAGCAAAACAGCCCAATCTTCTCAGAGGCCTGGAGTCAAAGTGTTCTCCTAAGGAGTTTCACCCAACTTCAATTTGTAAAGAATTCAGTTGCCTTAATTACACAATTTTTTCTTGTATTATTCTGTAGCTCATTTTCATACCATCGCCAGTTCTTCAGCAGGCTTCCTCCAGAACTGGTAGTATTCCCAGAACTTGTGTCTCAATTATGTACAAGATAAAGCCATAGTCATCCCTACTGCTGTTCCCCTTCTTACGTGATGCATAAGTTATTCTTGCTCCTAATGTGATGCTAATCTACATGTCCCAACTCTTACATTGTTTTCATTTATTTCTCCACTGCCACCCCAACTAAAGCCCTTCATTCTGTAGGCATGATCTGGACCTGTGTTCCTACGTGTATGACCTTGTCTTTCATGGTGATAAGAATACCTGTTGCTCTCGTGCTTCCAGCTATGCGGGACAGAGAATGATGGAAGCTGCTCCCTCCCCACATATGCCTAATTCATCAACAGTCCTCTCTATCCCAGAGGACAAACAATCATCTGGCTGATCCTCAAGGTATTCATTATCAATGCCACTTCCTGGTCTGAAAGAGTTCTAGAACTTGTGCCTCATGCATATTTGCTATTTTCTGTATGGGATAAGAAGTAGGTGCTAGTCCCTGAAACAAGCATTCTGCAGAACAGAAACCCGTCTCTGGTTCTGTTGAACTATCTGAGAAGTGGAAAGCTCAGCATTGGTTCAATGTACACAACGAAAGGCTAAACTGATTTTTAGGAAATTAAGATGTATCCAAGCATGTCAACAGCTGTCTGTACCTGTATATTACCAGAAGGAAATCCATAAACCTAATTAAGAGCAGGCTGCTATAACATAGATTATGGCTATTCTGTGGTGCAGAATTGTCTTGGTCCAAGTTTCCATTCTCAACTTCTAGGTCCCGAGGCAGCAAGAAACATTCACCCTTGTAGCACAAGTAGGCAAAGGTGCTCCTTAAGTTTGCAGACATCACGTCTCCCCAGTCACCTCACTGAAAGTAAAGCTACAGGTATTCTAATGCAATTTGCAGGTTTCCTACCGACCCTCCATCCTTTCTCGCAAGAAAGTTTATTTCATGTAACCACATATTTGACTCTAGAATTTGGCAAAGACACTGCAAAGCATGAAGTTGAACGCTACTGATCTGGCATGAGTAGTTGGATATATGTTTTTGAACCATGCTACTAAGAGGTGCCCTAAAGGACAACATTAACTAATATTATTGTATAATAGACTCCTGGACATGGCTTTTTATAGACACCATAGTCCAGCAGCAGCACTATTTCCTTACCTGACCCTCCCAGCCTTTAGGGGATGACTGAGAAGGCAGAGCATATTAAGCAGAAGAGGTACAAAGAGCTGACACCTCCTTCATCCTAATGCAACCCTGCAATTTGCAATTTCTGCTGGACCTGCAGACTTCCATTGTCCCTGGGCATCAGGCATGCACAGGCACCCAGCTGCTTCCATGGCAACATAATTACCCAAAACCCAGCCCAGTCTAGTCTTCCAACAGCCTAAACATACCATAACTTAACTCTTTCCTGCTTCCTCACCTTAAGCAATCCCATGTGGATCAAGAGGCTTGTGATGAATGCATCTGAATTGAATGTGGCAGAAGCAAAGGCTTTTCTCATCAAGGCATCTAAAAGGAAATAAATGCATCATATTAAACAATACAGAAAGGGACACTGTTACAGATTTTAAGATCAAGATCGATCATACAAGACCTCAGGGAACATCAGCTGTCAAAGGAGTTTTGGGAGGTAATATCTGTTAAGATTCCAGTTGTCTCCACGGGGACTAGGTATAATCTCCAAAACACTGAGACACGTAAAACCCAGACCTTCGCACAGGTCCACTAAGACAGCAACTACAACAGACACTCATCATCAAGCTTTGGAAGCACAAGATACAGTAAGTTCAGAATGAATCTATACTATCACTCCACACAACAGCACGGCACGGCACAGCTTGGTACTTTGTTATCTGGGGTTTCCTGCTGTGAGGGACAAAACAGTCCAATGGCCTGGCCCACAGGGCCTTCCTCTGCATCTGGTGTCCTTGACACTGAAGCAGGTCACACCACGAAGTGAAGAAAGGCCCCAGTCACCTGTTGTTTCATGCACTGCTGTTTTCACTGGGGCTTCATCTTTGAAGACCGAGGATATCCTTAGGAGAGCTGTAACTACTTTCTCTACATCAGATGTATCTGTCTGAAAGACAAGGGAAAAAAAAGAAAAAGAAATCAGGAGCCATTCAGTTCACTGCTTACCAGCTACAGAAGATGGGTCTCTGCTAGGGCTGTGACAAGAATCACAGCCTTCAGCTGACTGCCATCACTTTTGCCTTGGCCATATCACAAGGCACGAACAACGTTGAAACAAAGTCACTTTATGTAGAAGCTCTGGGGCCAGTATAAGTTTAACTGCATCACCTGCTTCCATAAGGTTCCTTAGGATCACTGGGGAGAAGATACAAATCTGGGTCTCAAGAGTGGAAGTTATCATCTCTGGGGATTAAATGATTCTGAGAGAGAATCAAGCACAGAAGACCTGTGCTGCTTCTACCTGCTGAGCTATCAGCACAGAGCACTTTGGTCCTAGTCGCAGCAGCTTCTCTGGGGATGGGAAAGCAAGGAACGTGGCGACATCCACAGGAGGAGATGGCACTGGAGTTGAATCCTGAAACAGGCAGAATCCAT